ATCATGGCTACCCCCTCGTGGCGGCGTGGCCAAGTGGACGATCACGCTGGGACCATCGATAGCTGCTGAGAGTCATAGCCTTGCTAGTGGAGCACCACACATTCTGCCAGCATTTGTTCGATGGGAAAACTGGACAATGAAGTGTGAACACACCCGCAACGTCATTTCATTTCGCCCTCATCAACCTGTGTCTGACTCCAAAGTGGCACCCGCGGTCTGAATGAAACAGCGCAACAAGGTCGAAAGTTTCCTTCGCCAGAAGATCTCCCGAGGACTGGAAGATAAGTTGTCTACGGAATAGCGGTGTATGCCCCCACAGCCCAGGCGCCACCACATGGGTTCATGGCGCCCAGTGAACCGACTGTTGGTGCCATTGATCCCAATATAAAGCGCGGCATATGCAGAGTCGACGTCGCGTTTGTCGGGGGGGTAGCTTTCCGTGTGGCCTCTATCGCTCGCAGTGCTCTCTACTTGACACAATTGAGCCAAAGCGTCGTCGTAACCACTGGTAGCCCCATTCCAAATATGAGGCCGTTCAAACAATCCTCAGAGACGTTTACAAGTCGCAGTTGGCATTTGACCGAGTCAGGAGCCTCCTCCTCGCCGCCCAACGTTTGTCCCCACTCGAGACCAGTGGTACGCGCTCGACGACACTTCGCCATTAGAATGGCATTGGGCGACAGCACTTGCTCGACGTTATCCACCCCTCGCCTTCAGGCACATCGCTGTGATTGCAAGACTTCGATATAAACATTCCCAAGGCAGCGCCGTACTGCTGACATGACGCCAACGGAACGTTCACGATGTCGATACAAATCAAAAAGCTTGCCTGGATTCGCAGAAACGTCAGGTGCTGGAGCCTCTGGCAGCAAACCTGCGGTGTCTGGAACGATATTCGCCTGCTCTAACATCATCTTGGAAGTGCCCAACAGCATACGATAGGCACGTACGTTCATATTCTCGTGCCTTCATAATCCTTCTGCGCAATCCCCGTCTCGCGCGCAATGTGGTCTGTTCCAGGCCATCGACTGCGAGTACGTGGCCAAGTCGGCATATTTGATCGCATTCCCCAAGGACTTCATAGATCAAGTGGTGTCGCTTTACGAGTTGCAGATGCCGCCGTCCCTGATTGTAGAGAAGAGCCCACCCGCTTGGGGTCCGCCCTGGAGGAGTGATTTACGATAGAGTGACGTTTTGGCCATCGATCTTTGGGTGCTACGACTGCACCACGCGAGTCCAGGCATCCACGCTGGGTTTACCAGAAGCCGAACTATTCGCCATGGTTCTTCAGACACCCACACCTGAGCGAGGTCTAGCTTCCCTCTACGGCCACTGCGTCAAGTTCCTGCCGTACGACGTTTTGTTTTCAGTCGTCTCGACCTGACGCAAATGCCAGTTGCCGCCGCTGCCCGCGCGCCTCGTGCAGTTCGCATCTAACAAGACGTTGATCATTTTTGTTGAACATCCCACGACCCGAACGCGAGTGTTGGGTGGACTATGATCTACGATTGTCGGCAAGGAGATCGCGAAGTGTAAGACTTTGCCGGGGGCGAAGACAGCATCGAGTTAATCACGGTGCTGGATCCTGGCCTGTTCTCGATGGAGGCCCAGCCCCATGGACCACCCGATGCTCACATCCAGGCACAATTGGTGCATTGTCGCGTTCGTGATATTTACCCTGACGGGACTTGGCGCGCTGGACTGGTATGCGCCACACAGTCATGAACGAGGGACTGCTGATGGAGAATGGGACGCTTCCGTTGCTGTGGGGCAATGACTACATCCTGACGCGGCCGTGACAGAAACGCTTGTGCTCTACCTCGTCCAGAGTGAGAGAGCTTTCGATTCTCTTCGATCGATGTTGACTTCGCGCGTGCAGCACGCCCGTGCCGACCATGTGGTGCCATCATCTCGATCAAACAGACGCTGGGCAGTCCTGTGACGGTTGGCGCTCCTTGCACACGTCCTCCGAGTCGGCGATGTTGGGAGAGAACAACAGTATTCACGAAGGTCTCATGCCCGAGCCGTGCGTCAGCTTCGTGACCTTTGGCATATCATTTGCGCGACTTCATCGAGTAGGACCAACGTGACCAGAGCCGATCTTCGACACACTCACGACATGAATGACGCGCAGCCATTGTTGCCCGTGGGTCGGTTCGTTGACGACGCCTCGCTTGACTTTTTCGCGTGGATGTACTTGTTTGAGTGGATTCTCGGGCTCCGTGAAGTCGTCCGGTGTGACGGAGAGGTGGCCAACTGCACTGTTGTGCCTGGCCGATCGCTCCCAGCAAAGGTTCCCGTGCATGCGAACGAGATCTTACAGACTCGTGCTTTACATGCAAAGTGCGATGCAGGATCAGTCGATGGTGCAGTGTGTCATGGCCATTCTCGTCAGCATCACGCTTGGCGAGTCGAGGTCGCATCAAGGGCCACAAATTGTCCTAGAGCAACCGTCGCTATCGCGCCAGTTTGCGCAAACGAAAGCCACGCTGCCGGACCTTATGACGAATATTCTGTCGGGTGGTGAAGAGGGTCGTGAACATCCAGAACGATCTGTTCTCGGCCGTGACTCTTCACGTCCGAGGACGGTCGACCGTGTTGTAGTGGCTCGAGGCTGCGATGTGGCGCATGTCGAACAGGTTGTTCACGTGCATCGGAATTCATGCACACTGACCGGCACGGACGTTGCTGTGACAGAGCGGGCAGTTCGAAAATGGGAGCGTTAAGAGGATTGCAGGGCTGCTGGCGCTGGCGTCGTGCATGGTTTTCGACGCTCTGCGATGTCTGCGATTTATCGCACGTCACGCTGGAAAGTGCGCTATTTCCACCATGAGTTTCAACGGCGTGAATGGATGCACCACGCTGTGTACCGCGTCGACCGCACGTCGGTGATCCTGAACGGCCTCCAGTACGCAAGGCAACATGCTCGTCGTTGCAGACATACCACGTGTTCATGGTCACCAAACCCAAGCCAAACTAACCGTGGCGAGTACCAATCCTGGCCAAGTCGATTCCACTCGCCCGAGAATCGACATGGTAGTTGCCGACGATGGAAGCCAGCCATCGCATGAGTACAAGGAGCGACAGAGCGCCATTGCCAGCCACGGGCTTACCCATGCATCACGCTCGCCGCCACAACCGTTGTCAGTGTGCTGGTTGCAAGGAAGGTGAAGAAAACAGAAGTGCACAGGGGCAAATTCGTTCAGGTTGCCTGCATCTAGGACTACTGATACTGCTACGCCAGCTTGACAACTGGATGGACGCCTCAGAACTTGCTGTGAAGGCGGGACTCGACGGGGAACTTGACTTCGACGAGACCGTCAATGCCGGCCGTGACGATCTGCATGAATATTCTGAGAGGTTACGACTTTTGATGGAGATCTGTACATTTCCAGGTTCGATGGGCCCGACGCCTTCAGGAGTTCCCGTGATGATGACGTCGCCTTCTTCCAGCGTCATGATGCGGCTACGAACGGACCGGAAAGTGGAGACGCCAACAGTAGTCGAAAGACAAACCTGATGTGGGAGATTAGGAACGGTATTTTGTGGACCATGTCCCGGGTGTTGCAGCGCTGGCGCTGGACTCCATCCACGCTGAGCCAGATGTTCAAATCCTGGGGGTCGGCCACTTTGGACGCAGGAATGACGTCGCTGATGGGCAAGAACGTGTCATAGCACTTGGCGCGAGTCCACGGAAGACCGCCCTTCTTTGCAGTCGCCTGGCACAATTGCATTAGAGAAATGCGTCCTCTGCACCGAGAGACAACGTACTTGCAAGTCGCGCGCGGTGAGGTCGATTGTTAGGACATACCCGGCAACATGGTCGCGCCACCGGGTTTCGGCAATGTCGCTACCGGTCTTGCCAATGACAATGCCCAATTCCACTTCGTGGTGCACGGACCCGATGCCCGGAGGCAACTGAATCGACCCGCCTTCGCCGACGTAGGTCGACGTCGGCTTGATGAAGATCACGGGTTCCTTGGGTGCATGCAACGCCCCCATCTCCCTCGCATGGGCTTCGTAGTTCTTCCCAATCGCCACGACCTTCTTCCTACAGTTTACGCCGTGAAATCCATCGCGGTGTGTTTCGCATACCCAGCTTTCAGCAGCGCATTCGACACATATCTCGCCATGTTGTTTGTCGCAAGTGCCACTGAAATCTCACGGAGTTCGATTCCGGATAAATCCGTCTGTATCCGGTGGATCCGCGTTGAAGTTGAAATATTTTTAGCGCGAGTTCGCTCATGCGTGCGCGCGATGGCGGACGGCCCAAATGAGCGGCAAGAAGCAGCAGTAGGAACCAAAAATTACGCGCATCAGCTCAAGTTTCGTGGGACGACTGCAGTGATACGGTCGCTTCGCGCCCTGAACGCTCCAAAGAAGCGTGCGACGAAGTCGACAGCGCCAATCGAATCGCAGTACCTCGGCCTCGGCACCAAGATCGTTCAATTGTGTGAGTCGAACGTGCCCCTGCGCCGACGTCTGGCCCATTTGTCCATGATCCACGCTGAAGAAGTCGATGGTGATTCTGAGGACGATTTGGAGCTGATTGGGGGCCAAGGTCTCAAGGATCCTCGCGAAGACGAACTCCTTGCCCTCTTGCGGAAGCAAGACGCTGCATTCTCCTCAACAAGCTCTGAATCTCTGCACATTTGTCATCCAAGCATCCAGCGGTCCAAAAGTGCGATGGTGTTGCCTCCTGCCGTGGACCAGGACGTCGCCGAGGCCATTCAGCATGACCTAGTCACAACATTGCCGACTGTACGTCCTATCAGCGCTTTAGAAGCATGACCATCGAGAGTAGGTGCAGTGGACAGCAGCCTTTGAGATCCCCTACCTCAAATTCAAACAAAAGCGACGCGGGGCCAACTTGAGTTCTGCGCAAATGTTTCGTGCGTTCTTGCTCACGCCAACGTTTCGCCAGTTGCATTCAGCTGCGAACGGCACGACCTGCTTTGACGAGGACAAAACGGGCGAATACGCGTCCCTTGACGTGGATGCTACGCAAAAGCGAGGGCTCCAGAAGCGGTGACGCTATCACCAGTCACACATATGCGACATCTCATCACGATTTTAGGTTCCAAAAGCTGGCCAAGCCGATTCGCGAATCGTTAGTGCTGTCGCTGTCTTCGCACATGCTCGACACACTCGCGCACATGACTGCAATGTACACCGCCGCCCGCCGCGACTTTCTCGCCAATATGTCCAAGTACTCCAAGTACGAGCGCGAGCAGAACGAAGTGGCCAAGCACCACGCGGCAGCGCTCTCGGGCAAACGAGACCAATTGAGACAAGATGTCGACCGCACAAAGCACCACTTGAACGCGCTCGCTCAGCGGACGACAACCATCCATTCTGTGTCCAGCTCGAAGAGCCACGTAATCACGACGCCACGCATGCCCGACTTCCTCAAACCGATCGTGTCACCCAAGAAAGTCACGAAGGACCACTCGCCGGCATGGAAGCGCATCAAAGACCTCGAACAATGCAACACGACGCGAAGTTTGCAGGCTTCAGTTGCCTACGCCAAGGCAATTCACACTGACGGTGCATCTCTGCCAAGAACGCCCAGAGTCTCTGATCGCAGGTGGTGGTAGGAATTGGAGGAGGGGTTACCACCGCCGCCGTTCTCCACAGGTCTAAAGATCGTGTCGAAGGATTGCACCGTCAGTTGACCAGCCAGTCCGTTTTCGTAGACAACATGAAACCATGGCATGCTATATTGTGTACATCCAACGGCATTACCGTGGGCACTTGGCGCGGCGCTACGTCTGGGCACTCAAGTGGATGTGTGTCATGTGGCGGTACATCTTCCTCCCCGACGACATCTTGGACACGCCTGCCGGTGCTTTGGAGCGAGGGTTCCTCCGCCTCGATGACTTTGAGGCAATGATGGAGTACTTTAGCTACCAGCCGTACGTGCTTCGCAACGTTGTGGAATACCAGTCACACAAGGCTCTTCGTGCAGGAGCCCTGACCGCATCTACTTGGCCGGGTTCGCGTTGACGGTGCCGCCGTCCCGACTCGGCCCTCAGTTCGTCGAGTACAAGCGATTCAAGCGGTATTAGTCGAGGATTCCATGACGTTATCTTGCCTCGATGTTCATGCAACTTGGCCTAGGTACTGGCATCGCTTCATGTACCGGCCCGTGAGCACGGGCGACCGCATCCGGTTTGTCCTCTTTGTGAGAAATCGACAAACAGTCGTCGCCGCCATGGACGGCAAGTCGCGCATGGATCAGCCCGGCGGCAGTAGCACCGCGCTTGCGCAGTTGAAAAAATACGCGCTCCTGCAGCAGACTCAAACTCGCCACCGCAAGAATGGAGCGGACGCGACAGTGGTCAAGTACCAGAGCCACCTGAGCACGCTCAACGACGAGACCAAAGCCCTCGGGCTGCGCGCGAGGCGGATGCTATTGCCGAAAGACGAGCGAAACGCGCGGGGATGGGCCCTCGTCCGCCACATCGTTGAAGCACATACGATGCGCCAAACGTCGTACAAGTCAGTCCATCATGTCGTTTCGCATATGCAGGACGTGGACACTCTCGACGGCCGCCGACGCATCAGCATGCTTCGAGAAGACTTGCAAGCTTGCTGCCCAACCAACGAAGGCGGGACAGTCACGACAAAGTCGCCAACGAAGCTCCAAAGGATGCTGCAACGACTCAAACAAGCAGTACAAGACGCGAGAGCCCTCGTGACATACATTGAAGAAATAGGGTTGGACCCAACTGAGTTGACGATCGGTGAAAACGAACTCCCACCACCACCCTGTGTGGCGCGACTGGACAAGACAAAACATGTGCGGGGCTGCAACAAGCTCGTGGATCTCCTCGACCGCCTGCATAGCTTGAACCAATTGTTCCACGACTCTTGGTTCGCATTTGGCAACCGCAAGATCATCATGGGCCCAGAAGGCGGCAACATTGTCACGTCCACACGGAAATATGTGCTCGAGTCGATGCAGTTGTTGGCTTTGGCTTGGCGGCAACTTCGTGGCGCGGCAAGGTCTACCTTGACCAAGTCCGGAAGCATGCGCAACCTTCACCGCACGAAGCGTACAGAGCAGTTCCATGAGCTTCTCCTGGCATACGATGTCAACATTCGCAACATGAGCGTCATCCTCGAGAACTATGAAGGAGACGTTGGTGTGTTTCGGCCCGACGAACACGGCAGCTCTTGTTTCTAGAACATATATCGGCATATTCCGGATATCGGATTGTTTATCCGGTACATTTCCTCGTCAAGCGTGCTTCTATTGAGGTGAATGTGTGTGCGGTCAAGTTTGGCTCGCCGCGCAGGAAAGATACATCATGGAAACGACGTGGAAAGGTAGACCTCCGTCTCTCTCCTGGAACGAAGTCTAAATGAGCTTCGTGCAGAGCTGAAGAAGAACCTCAGCGTCATTGAGAAGGCAGTGAACGCGAATCAGAAGGAGAAACTTGCGCGGGTGTTTCGCACGACGACCTCGGTTCGTCGGGGCATAACCAGTGTCGAGCTCAAGCGTGCGATCGAAGAAGTGCTGGCTGAGGACAACGAAAGTCGCTCGGTGTTAATCAAGTACGTGTCGTTGGTGAAACCCGACGAGTCAGAAGATGTGGACATGAATGCGGGAGAAACCGACCCTGTTGTCGGCGACGTCGAGAAGGACGACGACTCAAACGTCCACCTCGATCGCAGCGACTTGATCGAAGTCGAAATCTACCTGAGTTTGCTCGTCATCTCCAAGTTGTTCAAAGCCCAGCTCGGTTGCGAATCCCAAGCGCTCACAGACTTTGTCCGTGCGCGAAGCGAGGAATTCAATCGCCGTAGCCTCGACATCTTTGCCTCGCGCGCGTTGACGTACTACGCGTACGCACATGAGCGATTTGGCAGCAACTACGCTGGCATTCGCCCCGTGTTGCTTGCGGCCCATCGCACGGCCTGCCTTCGCAGCGACGAGATCGGCCAAGCTACATTGCTCAACTTGCTCCTACGCAACTACCTTCACGAGAACCTGTACGACCAAGCGTTCAAGTTAGTGTCCAAGACGACATTCCCTGAAGCTGTGTCGAACAACCAGTTCGTTCGCTACTTGTACTACGTCGGTGCGTCCGTTTTACTGCCCATTGTCATTTCGATTTGCTTTAAGCGATGGCCACATCGATTGAAAATGCTCAATTCTACGATGCATTAGGCAAGATTCATGCCGTGCAGCTCGACTACACAGACTCGTATACGAAGTTGATGCAGTCGATCCGCAAAGCTCCGCAGAACACGGCCGTTGGCTTCCGTCGCACTGTGCACAAGCTCGCGATCATCGTGCAGCTGCTCATGGGCGAAGTCCCCGAGCGCAGCATTTTCAACCAGGACGAGTTCAAAATTGCGCTTGAGCCGTACTTGAAACTTACGAATGTACGAGCTGCTCTGTGGATGGCTTTGGCTCATCTGGCCCTCGCTAGGCGGTGCGTCTCGGTAATTTGGAAGATTTCTCGTCGGTACTGGCGCAGCACGCTGACACGTTCAAGTCGGACAAAACGTACACGCTTATCTTGAGGTTGGCAGCTGGACATATGCATGGAGGGAGGCGCTGACGGATGGACTGGTAGATTGCGCCACAATGTCATCAAGACGGGTCTGCGCAAAATCAACACGTCGTACTCCAAGATCCGTTTCACGGTGCGACTGCGATGTGCTGCGTCGTGGCGCGATCCAGTGCTCTGACTTGCTCGGGTGATGTGCAGGACATTTGCGCCAAGCTCGCGTTGGACACGCCTCAGAACGCCGAGTTTGTTGTGGCCAAGGTAGAGAGTGGCATGATAGTTTTGCCAGGGTGGTGGCTGACGATGGCGTCGCAGGCCATCAAGGACGGTGTGATCGATGCGGTGATTGACCACAAGAACGGATGGATGCAGTCCAAGGTACGTGTTGGAGACTCGCTCTCGCGGACTCAACGGAGCGTGCAAGGAAACCGTGGATGTCTACGTGACGAACGAGCCACAGCAAGCGTTCCACAAGCGCATTACGTTTTGCTTAGATGTGCACAACGAGGCGGTCAAGGTAAAACGAATGAGATGCGCAAGAGCTGACGCGACGGCAGGCGATGCGCTACCCACCGGGAGCGTACAAGAAGGACTTAGAGTCGGCAGAGGAACGGTTGGAACGTGAGAAGCAAGAGGAGGAGTTGGCCAAAGAAATTGAAGATGAGCTGGACGAAGGCATCTAAGTGGCATCGCCTTTTGAGTTGGGTGTGGACACGACAGACAGCTTCACAGACTAAAACAACGACTTTATGCTGCTTGTGACCTGGTGCAATGGCAAGAAATCGGATTTGAGGAGAGTTCGGGTTGACGAAGGAATTGTTAACTGGTTAGATGACTTCGGCAGTCCCTTGGTTGGTCTTGCCACCCTTCTTCTGGAATGAACTGTTACCGCGGGCAACGCTAGGTAAATCAGCTTCGCTCAGACTCTTCTCGCGCAGCAGTCGCGCGTACTCGACCGAGTGCTTCTTGGAGATTCGACGCCCCAGGACGAGCATGTACACCGATAGACCGACTTCCATTGTCAGCGTCATGAGAGCGATGACAGTGTATCCTTGGAGCTTCAGACAGCTCGTGCTCGAGAGGTTGTGATCTAGGGCATTCGCATCACAATACTTGCTGAAATCGACACCCGAGAGGAACGGCTCGAGCAAAATTGAGATGGTTGCGATCGTCGTGACAATTAGTCCGATGTGAAGTACGTAGAAGAACTTGGACCCATGGCGCTGGAGGACGTTGAGGCAGGGACAGCATTCCCTCAGCGTGTACAGGAATGCATACGTGATAGAATATAATGCGGTGACCAAGTACAACGCGAGCACGGCGAGGCCGACTTCACGGGTAACAGCGATCGCAGGGAGAATCGTAAGCGCTTGCAGGCTCAGCACAATCAACAACACGCACTCGTCCAGGATGATGCACATGGCGTTGCGGCTTGAGGAATGCCGCCGATGATGGAGTTGCCCTATTGTTCCAGATACCCCGAAACCCCCGCGCTGGTTGAAGTTAAAAATATGCTCAACATAATGTAAGTGGAAGAAGCTATCTTAAACTGAGCAAAATCCCTTAATGTACTTGAGAAAGTGTACTATACGTAGTTTCTCCCTTGTCCGGATGAGTTCCCGTTACACTCATGGAACGGGGGGGTTATCCGGATGATGCACCTGAAGCTGCGCTGTTGCGGCGACTCGAGCACAAGAAAGCACGCGAGCACCGAGACACCACTCCTCCACGGAATTCCCCCCGTGCAGCCTTCGTGCTCCGACACAGCGCCATGAATGTGAATGACGTAAGTTAACGGGGTGTGACATTAGTTTATTATACACGCATGGAAGAAAACATTTCAATGAAGGACGAGCAGTTCGTGAGCCCTTGAATGGCAACACCAAGGCGTTCAAAATCGGCACGCTCGTTGTAGATTTGGGCGCTGATGCGAACGTACAGGTGGCCATCGATGGGGATCACCTTGGTCGCGAGTTGGTAGTAGTCGAGCAAAATGTCCATGACAAAGCAGCAAACTTGGCACTGTTCATCAGCCGTCAGGGATTCACCGTTTGCCTTGACGGGCCACTGGATAGGCAAACGGATTGCGCTGGCAAATGGCGCACGCTGCCACGGTGGCAGCAGGGCTTCCGTACCCCACAACGACGCCAGGTAGCTTGAAGCCCAGTCTATTAAGCTCTTGTTGTGCGCAAACACACGTTTGTGCCCCAAATTCTGGTAGAAGTCAAGGGCCGTGCAGATAGTCAGGTAGTTGGACTCGTCCTTGGTGCCTTGAACCGCAAACTCCTCAATGAACCCTTGGTTGTAGCTGAGTGAAGTCACAACGGGGCGCACCATTGCTTGGTGTTCTTTGTCGACGTACAGAAAAGACGACGACTTGGAACCAAATAGCCACTTGTTGCACGTGCCGACGTAAAAATCGGGCTTCAACTGCCGCAGGTCCAGCGGCACTTGTCCTGGGGCATTCGCACCGTCTACAAGGACGGGGATACCTCGCTTCTGGAAAAGAGGAATGAGCTTGTCGAGGGGCAGCACCAACGCCGCAGCGCTTGTGATGTGATCCAAAACTGCCACACGGGTGTTTGGGGTGATCGCGGCAGCGAGTTGCTTGATGAAGGAATCGTACGAATACAAAGGGAGCTTTACGTCAACTACCTTGAGCTCAACCACCTCTTGCGTCATGTAACAAATATGGCGCAATGTGTTGAATACACCAGGGTAGGTCGAGTTCATACAGAGGACTTCGTCGCCTTCCTGTAGATCCATCGAACGGAGCACGGCGTTGACACCATGCGAAATGTTCGGCACAAAAACAACATCTTCAGAATCAGCGCCAACAACTTCGGCGAGTTTTTCGGCTGATCGACGCAACAACGTGGGGAGCTCACGTCGGAAAAACCGGTCGGGATTCTGTTCCATGCGATTGACAAAGTACGACTGCGCGTTCAGGACAGGGCGGGGTGTAAATCCGCACATGGCTTGGTTCAGAAACGTCATGTTGGGCTCCATGTTGAAACAACTGCGGGCTGAACTGCCAAACGTGAGCTGCTGACAGTAGCTGCGGTCCTCGGGTGTGAGCAACGAGAGGGTGTCAAAGTTGAGGGCGGTAGTTTGACATCGAGTTTCTCCTTCGTTGTGCTGCTTTGTGGAGGTGGCAGCGTGCGGTGCTGGTGAAATCGCGCCGGTGGAGTGGACTGCGTGTTGCATCGTGCACGAGGATGCAACGCAGATGGAATGGATAATGAAGAGCAGTTTCTTTGCAAGGTTGTGGGACTCGTCCTTTTTTCGCCCTCTGGATCAATTAACTTGGAATTTGTATCGTGTTGGATAATTTTATACCTTTTCGACACATCCAGCGTTTTGAGGCATTAGACTGGTCGAATGTACAATATTAGCCAATCAAAGTGTAGGGACCGCTTCTTTTTGAGTAAACAATTGCTTTATTGGCTATTAATAAAGCCAATCATCAAGTTGCACGCCCAAGAGTCATACCACATTAGCGATGGCCAATGGAATGTGGCAGGAAACAAAACAGTGTGGCGATCGGGTTCCTCGATGCCTCTGTGTGGCCGCTTCCTCGCCGCTTACAATGGCAGCTCTTGACCTGGCTTGGCGACACACACGTTACGCGTATGCTCTCATGGGCGAGCTCGTGAACTCACGACCTGAACCATGTATTACTTCGTCGTGGCGCGACTGCCGCACCTATCGGAGTGCAGGATTGATAGTTGTCACGACGCGAGGTTGAAGTAAAGCTCGAGGAGAATCGAGCATGCGAAAGGAAAGGCAGAAGAGTCTACCCTTTTACCTCCAACTACTTCCATTGCTGAACCTCCATGACGAGAACTTGTGCATCGTCTGTGCCGGCTTCGCCGTTTCATCCTAGTACCGCTGGGAAACGCGAACTTCGCAGGCCACTCAAAGCGCAGGATGGCCCAACGTCACATATATCCGTGACAACTTCAACATGCTGAGCACTCGGCAAAACGAGGACATCCCCAAAACGAATCACGAACGACGAATGCCCACACTTGCAAGTACAGCTTTAGATGTATTCAATGATCGGCGATAAAGTGGTGTGAACTTAGACCAAGTCGGTTGGCGGAAGGGATGAAAGAAGTGGGAACATCGATGGAGACCTGGGTTGTAATATGGACCCACAACGAGATTATTGTCATTGCGATACCACACAAGAGAATTGTCGCTGCTCTCACTCCCATCGCCACATATATTGCACCGTTGGTGCATTTTCACAGTGATGGTGTGCTTTTCGGCAATAGCATATCCATTTGCGGTAGGTTAGCGATGGACTCCTCCCATCGTCACGAGGTGCCCCCGTCGTCGCGCGGTGTCGAGTACGCTCCATTTTGTAAAAACTACTCGCATTTTGTAAAAACTGTACTCGGGAAGTAGCGAAGTTGGGATATCCGGGCGCTGGTTCCGGATATGGTTCCGGATAATGCACTGCGGATTGCTATTGGCCACATGAGAGGACGAGTTTATCGACCAATAACGAGTCTCGTTGCATTGGCGACAGAATTCGATCAGCAGAGATGGCGGCGGTGGCATCTGCTGCGATGGTCAACAACGTGATGGCTCACATCCCAGGAATTCACTCGAGTGGTGTTGACGAAGGGATGCAAGATGACGACTGGGAAATGCCTCTCCTCTTCATGACCACCATGCCAATCAATTTCCAGCATAACGCTGACGTGGCAGCCATGACGACGTTTTCGGCCGACTATGAAGACAGCGACAGCGAACCGAGAAAGTTGCCCCCGAAAGCGGGCAAGATCCAAGAAAGGGGTAAATATCGAGCCCAGTCCCGCAAGCAGTCGAATCCATACGCAAGACCGATGTCGCGCCCCACCGTTGCAGACTTACAACTGGACCTCGTCAAGATGTAATATTGTGTCATATTTATACATTCCTGCGCTTCTTGATGCGCGACATGACTTTGGCTCACAAATGTCCGGCGTGTTGCGATGAATAAGATGCGAACATGGAGTGCATCTTACTTCGGACCCTCCACTGGACAGCACTCCTTCGACAAAACGAAGCTTTCCGACAACACCCATGCAGTCTGGTTCTCCATTCAACGAACGCGCCAAGAACCCCCACGCCATCCTCCAACACGAAAAATTCACCCCACAACCAACCATGCGTAGTCATTTGGACGAATCAAAGCGATCGGATGCGATTCATACTCGGCACAACGTGTAGCTCGAAGACATCCAAACTACTGCCCGTCGTCGTGTCATAGTTCGATGACTCAAAAGCATGGGCAAAGTCGGGTGGTGGCGTCGGCAAAGTGACTCCGGTGGTGCCTTGGCCAATGGATCGCTCTTTTGGCTAGACTCGTGTTTCGGTTGTTGACAAGGCCCCTTGTAGCTTTTAAACTCGACGACTGTCAAAGATGCTGTTTATCACACGAGTCAGCACAGTCGCCAAGGTCGTGGTCATGTGCGCTCTTGGCAGGATGACACGGTAAAGGGCACCATGTTTCGCATGCATCAAAGCGCATGACAGGTCAATGGGGGATGAGGTTGCTAGATTGATTAAAATATTAAGGGGTCGGGGGCTGGGTCAGCTCACAGCTCGCCCGTCAAAACATACTGAATGTTCAACATCGAGACAAATGCCAAGAGGAGGCTAACTCCCGTGGCCAATTTGTTCTCCGTGTCTTCAAGTGATTCCGGTAAGAGTTCGCAAATGGCGACGTATGCCATCGCGCCACCAGCAAAGCCCAGACCAGCCGGCAAAATTGGCAAGAATGTCTCGACAAAGAGGAAGGATGGGACTGCAAACATCGGTTGGGGCAAGCTGCAGAGACGCGGAGTAAGGCTCGACAGACGCACAGAGTCATCAAGTACCTTGAAAAGACACACCACAAAATTGCTGGAAGCAGCTTTAGGCCTCGCGGAATCAGCACCAAACAAATCTACCCGACATAAAAAAACTCATGTCGAGACACACGGAGTGAGAACAAACACGGTACCGCGAGCCCTTCGGGAACGTTGTGGATGGCGAGCGTCAGCGATACCATGACGCCCCGTCTGTCACCACCTTCACCACCAAACGAAACCCCGACGCCAATCTATTCTTTCGAACGGGAATACGTTGCATGAGCAATAGTTGTAACAACTCGGGTCGTACTCCCTCGGAAATCGAATGCAACGTCATGACAGCCATTATCAACAGCGCCTTTTGCGCATCCAAGCCTGTGTCGCAATCAGTTATCTGACATGGCACAAAACGAGGTACCGTCCAAGCCGCCCAATTTGACGCCGTCGTGGCCGTCAAGGATGAGTTTTGTCATCTTGATAAAACCAATCCCTGCGCACGCTCCAAGGAGCAGGCGAATTTTCACGCTCAACACATCGGTATCGTGACTCTTGACATGAAAACCTTCGTAAAACAAACAGCTCGTGGCGGCAAGCATCATGCCAGCAGCAAGAGCTACAACGAGGGTTGGTGCTTCTTCGGTGGATGGATTGACACAAAGCCTTACCGTTGCAGACGCCGAGCCAGAACTTGTCAATATCCTTTACCCATAGAAACGGCACGGCACCAGCTCCCGTCGACACGGCAGTCAACCACCCACACCACCACACGTAGTGCCAACTTCGCATGTTGCCTGTGAAAGGGTAGCTCACAAGTGTGATGGCAAGGAACGCTGCCGCTGTGGCGAGCTCTGCTTTCCACGACAGCGATTTGGACTGCTGGCCAGCCGGCACCTTTTCGTTTGAGTCGACCAAGAATGAATCGTCGTCCTTCGCGTCCGGTGATGGTGGCTTTGCCTTGGCCGTGTCGGCGCTACCGCTATGAGCTTGTCGGCCGACCACGTTGTCGTGCGTCGCAACGACTCCGCTCTCAAGACCCATCTTGCCAGGGGTCGCGGGAGTTCCAGACGTGCTGCGTTTCCTTAACTGAGCTATGATGGCGTAATGGGCGACGTGCCGTCCCTATACCCAGTGGGGATGATAAAATGCGCACGGGTGTTGAGTTTCGACTTGGTCAAACGTGGCAGTGGTCAGTCTCGTTACACTTGAATTTTGTATAGTGGCCGCGCATAACACATGAGGACGATGACAGCAGGAGGACGTTGTGTATCAAAATTCCCAATTATTCGGGAAATATTTACCAACATAGTGCCGAAATGGGCCAATCATAGCAATGCACCTTGCAGCTCACAAAGAAGTTGTGGCGAGGGAGACCACACGAATTGACTGAGAGAATTTGCATGCATACGCTTCCTCTACAGCCGACAAGCGCAGCAACTTGGGGCATTTGTTCAATCTCTTCAGAGCCTCCAACGATGACGGAGAGATTCAGACAGAATCGGGGACGCCAGCTTGTATGTCCCAGTCGAAAAATTCATTCAAATTGCAGTTTAATCGTTTTGATGATAGTCATTGGCCAACTTTGGTTCTGGGACAGGGAGAAATTGGGCTAAATACAAATGCAGCCAATCAGCAATTGAAATGAAAGGTATATCCCAGTCATGTACGTTTAATAAGAGGTTTATCCGGTGTTACACTTGGATTGGATATAGTGTACTTTGGCTCAATATGGACATACTGAATCTCAGTTAAACTCATTCATTGCGCGGAGCTATTCGAATCGACTTGCCGCCACGGCGCCCGTCCAGCAGTTGAATCCGCGAGTCGTGACATGGACAAGACTTCCATCCCGATGGATGCTGAGTTGGTGGCGTTCCGGGCAGAGTGTCATGTCAAAGAGCATAAGACGACGAACCTGTATCAACCACTCCTGCACAGCGGCCCACAGCATCAAAAGCCACATGTCGTCCAAGTCCCCAAGAACGCGTTCGTGTGGGACTGGCGCAATGGCATCATGGGGTTTCGGGACCTGGACGATCCGCAATGCCGGATCAGTCGCTGTCGATGTGGCTATGTGTTCAACTGCGTATACTTTCACAAAGGCAGTATGTTGTGTTTGACGCCAATCAGTTGATTGTTGAACTCATGGTCATGGCTAGGCGAAGTTGGCGAAATGAGCGCCGTCGCGCTGAAGCTCATGGACAAACAATTGATCTTGCTTGAAAACGACGACTTGGAAGCCGAAGTTCGCGCGATGCGCATCCTGCAGCACGTGGGGATGGATTCGGCGCTGCGGAGTCCTCACATGATTCGATGGGAGACTGCCGATTGTGCGTTCAACTACTACATCGCGACAGAATACATTTCGAACGGGTCGCTTATCTCGTACATGCACAAGCGATTTGGCGAAATCCGGTCGGAAGCCCATCGGTACTTTGGCGCGCGAGCGAGTCTCGTCGACGTCGGCAAGAACGTTGGCAAGTGGTTCCTCAAGGACGTCGTGCTGCCCATGTTCCATCAAATTCTGTGTGCTTTGGCGTATATTCACACCCAAAACGTTTGTCATTTGGACTTTGACCCGTACAATATTGCCGTCGACAAGCACCACATCATTCGCCTCCTCGACTTTGGCAGCAGTCAGCTCATGGACGGCCGAAATTCCGTCGGCGGTGGCCGCGACTACCCTCAGATCAAGTCCAAGCCCATTTACCGATCGCCTGAATTACGCAAGAACAACCGCGACCGAGCCATGTACCAACGTTTCCTGCGGAATCGACCACCCCATGCGACGTTCCGGGACGAGCAGAAGGCCATCCCACCGGGATTTCACGGCGCCAAATCGGATCTGTTTTCCGCGGGGGTCGTGGTAAGTCATCTCCTGCAGCGCTTTCTCGCTTGACCGTGGTGTAGTGCCTCGAGATGACCCTGTTTGGTTTCAACTTTGTCGGGTGCCCCGGCCCTGCATTCGTGAGCACACAAAACCCCCAGTACCGCGACCAATTTTACGCGCATTACGCGAAAAGATGCACAGTCCAAACGTGTATATTCTGCGCGCACAATCTCCCGATCCCGCCGTTTATCCTCACAACGATTGCGTGCATGATGGAGCCGAATCCTGCCAACCGCGTGCACGATGCCGTTGCCCTCGCTCAAATGTGGAAGAAGAACTGGGACGACTTGCTCAAGAAGGAAGCCGAAGTCACACCCCCGCGGCACTTTACGTCTCCCGTACAAGAGCGCAACCCACCGGCCACCGCGACGTTTGCCACCGCGTGTTAATATACCATCGTCATTTCTTGACATGAGTGCCGCCGGGAAGGCCGCCGCACGGACTGCAGCACGAGCTGTGATACATCGGGGTAGAATGGGACGAGTATTACCTTGGGTACGGGCGGGGGTGTCTTGTGCTGTGGAAGGCGATGTTGTGGACTCGTTAAAGTAGGCGCCATCGAAGTAGTAACGATGGTCACTTGAATTCGTCGGCCACGCTGTGTGGACGAGGCGGATGTTATCGACAGTGGCTTGGCTCGTGGAGGAGGGGGTGGTTTGGTCGTTGGGATGGATCGAGATGGAGTAGTCTTGGGAAAGTTCATAGTGGAAGGTGATGAACGGACGGAGGTGGTAGAGTTCCATGGAAGGGAGGTTATTGGAGGTGGCAGCGCCTGACGCTCGCGAGCATGTGATGATGTCAGGGTACGAAGCACGTTGCGTGGTGTTACGCACGCGGCCGACGGGGGGATGTGCTGTGAGGAGCATGTCTGGGTGCTCTGGTGAACGGTTGTGATGGACGTCTTTGGCTGGGAAGTGCCTGAATTCCGTGCAAGATCGAGAGGACCCAGGGCAGGAATGACTTGAGCTGATGTGACTGAGGGACGTAGTGGGTGCGCATCACCTGCAACAACCTTGTTGAAGTTCTCGTGTGGAGGGCATGTAGCATGAAGTTGAGGACGTGTCGCTGCGCGCTCCTTCCACCGCATAAACGCTTTGCATGATTGCAGCAAGTGACGATACTTTATATGCTGTACGAGCGCGCGTAATTTGTGCCGCTTGACGTCTTCCCGTTGGACTTGTTTGATGTTGGTCGCCGCGTCCTTGTCATTGTGACTAGGTTGTGACTCAACGTCGAGTTGGTTATTCTCCAAAAAGGCATGGTGCGGCTTGTTTAGTCGCGCCAGCTTCAGCTGCAGCGCGATATTCTGCTGGGTCAGCTTGGTCACGACCGCGGCGAGGTTCGATCGCGGCGCGACTGACGGTTTCATGTCTTTTCGCTAGTTGAGTTTTGCTCGAATATTGCCGATATTCATAAAAATTTGCTAGTTTTCGGAAAATAGTCAAAAACTCAACCGATGATGTGAAAAACTCGAATATTGTCGGTGGGTGCAGGAGTGACCTTGCGACAAGCTCTTTG